GGGTAGTGAGGGCGGCATATAAATTAAATAAATAAATGTTTGGAGGAGGACAAAAATGTTTAGAGTAGCCTTTGAACAGATTATTAAAATGCTGAAATGAAGGGGGATTCTATTAAATACTGAAAGACCATTTGCCTTCTAGCCATTTGGTTTATTCTTGCTGTTGTATCAGTAGCTAGTCTTCTCTCTGAGAAGACTCAAAAGGAATATTATAGCCTTATATTTACTACTCAGCTTCAAAGGCCTTTGGGGTTTCTTTACAGTGTGGTGTAGTGGATAGGGTGAGTTACAAAGACACAGGCAACCTGGGTTCAATTCCCTGCTCAGCCATGGGGTAGAACTGATAAAATAACTCTTTAAATATCTCACTTCCTTTTAAAGCCTTATTATGGTCAGTGTTAAGGTGGTTCCAACTCAACAGCACCCACATTTAGAATCATTTCAGAATTTCACATTCTGTTAACATTACACATTTTGCCTCTGAGGAAAAAAAATAAAATGTGCATCATAAGGTGGTGATGGACATCATACTTGTAGCTTTCATTTTTTACAAAGCCCATGTGGTTCAGTCAAGCTAACGACTGGGAAGTTCAACACAGAAAAGTAGGCAACAACTGTTGGGTTAGGCTCAGCCGGAGAGCTTTGTGAATAGTACTGGCAACAATCCTATGAAACATCTGAAGTGCCAGTCTGTTGGACTGCATGAGCATCCTGAGGAGATAAACAATTCTTCTGATCTTCTCATACAGCAGGACTTCACTGCCCTCAAAGCTGCTGCACCAAATTTAAACTACGTATTAGAGTTTCAGCATATTTCTAAATTAGAATTTCTGGGGGGAAAATATAGAAACAAGCTGTTGACTTCTGTTTCAAAATACTCTGTCTAGGCTATCGTTTCCTAACCCTGGATAGCCAACTTTTTCACTAGAATTCTCATCCCCCCCTGTATTTTTACCATGCAAGTTGGAGATGATGAAAATTAAAGTCTAAGCAGAAACAAAGATTGGACCATGCTGGTTTATGCCTTTTGCAAGGCAGGAAAGATGTATATACAACAGAAAATGGTCAGACAACAAAAAGCTGCAGATGACAGTGGGGGCAGGAAAGATGTATATACAACAGAAAATAATCAGACAACAAAAAGCTGCAGTCAAAGCTGCAGATGACAGTGGACATGGAGGTGCGAAGACAAACACAACAAAGATGTACACTCTTGCCACTGCTTTTGTACTCTGATCACAGGTTTACAGAATCACTTGCTTATTCAAATTATGCTATCATTGTAAATGAACAACATCAACAATATTCAATAAATAGATGTTGCAGAATACACTTAACTGATGGTCTGCAAAGCTCTCTTGATCAAGTAAACCAAGTGATAAACACAGACTAAAAATGAATGCTAGAAAACAATGTTCATGATAATCAGTGAAACACAAGTAGCCCAAGAAATACAGTTAAAGATTCAAAATGGCAGAATAGAGCACATTGGCAAACATAAGCACCTTGTAAATTGTTGAACGGATCCATGAGATCACAATCACGCAATAAAAGTTTGAAGGGATATGGTCTAAAAAACACCTTCCTTAAGATGAAGAATGCAACATGGAACAAAATTTTAAACAAAGATTGGACCATGCTGGTTTATGCCTTTTGCAAGGCAGGAAAGATGTATATACAACAGAAAATGGTCAGACAACAAAAAGCTGCAGATGACAGTGGGCATGGAGGTGCGAAGACAAACACAACAAAGATGTACACTCTTGCCACTGCTTTTGTACTCTGATCACAGGTTTACAGAATCACTTGCTTATTCAAATTATGCTATCATTGTAAATGAACAACATCAACAATATTCAATAAATAGATGTTGCAGAATACACTTAACTGATGGTCTGCAAAGCTCTCTTGATCAAGTAAACCAAGTGATAAACACAGACTAAAAATGAATGCTAGAAAACAATGTTCATGATAATCAGTGAAACACAAGTAGCCCAAGAAATACAGTTAAAGATTCAAAATGGCAGAATAGAGCACATTGGCAAACATAAGCACCTTGTAAATTGTTGAACGGATCCATGAGATCACAATCACGCAATAAAAGTTTGAAGGGATATGGTCTAAAAAACACCTTCCTTAAGATGAAACATCTTTGCCAATGTGCATTGTACAGTCCTTTTCTATTGTTTCTACCTTATGTCATGGATGGGATCATGGACTTCAACACAGGCCACTGTAAACAAAATAGAAAATTTGGATTCATCATAAATGTCAAGTATGTCTTGGACTAAGAGACTGACCAATAAAAATGTACAAAAGCAAATCAGTAAAGATTGAAAGACAGTGAAACTCATAAAATGCAGGAAAGTAGACTGCTGTATTTCAGTCATATAATGGGAAAGAAAAATGCAAACTGCTACAGTCGATCATTCATTTATTTTGAAATAAATGTGAGGGAAAAAGACAGGAAGAAGATTGTGTTGACTGAGGAAGAACTTGAAGACTAGTCTGAATGTAGAACCACACCATTGTTTAAAGCTGTTGCATCCAGGCTTAGAATAGGCATGATGATGTCCAACCACTGATAGAAAAAAACAAGAAGGTAGCAGCTCAAGGTTTACATGTTAGTCTGCCTCCACTGCCCCATTTTGTGAGAGGAACTCGCGGTTAAGGATCCCAATGCCAATTTAAATGTCTTCACGGCATTTATTTATTGATTCCTATTCCCTGCATCCTGCCTTCCAGATGAGATTGCCTGTTGGATGATGCAGGGTAGATAAAACCAGAACCGCTCAAATGTTTCTAATTCTGTAATAGTCAGAACTGGCTCCCTGCCACTTCTGTTCTGGCTGGAAAACAGAAGTGTCTAGCATTGTGCGTTGCCGCTTGCTTCTGCTGGGAACACCTACTGTATAATGGATTTCCTCGAGATGGCTGTTGTTTCCCAAAGAATAAAACAGAACAAGCTCTGAAGGACTCCATAGGTTGTAATGATTAATAAAATACAACTTAACTAATTGGATGTTGAGGTTCCCCAAAAGGACCCCAACGAAGTGGCATCAATCTTCTGTTGTAGGACATGCTGTGTTTTGAAGACATGGTTTAGATTTAAATGAGAAGATAGCTCGTCCAACCGACAGGTAACAGCAATGAAGGAAGAATGGAATTTAAAGCATATCTGGATTTGCACAAATACTCACATGTTAGAAGATCTATCTTTATTCTTTAACATTTTAGCATACAATTTATATCTCCTTGACAAATGACATGAGAAAAAACTGAAGGTATCACTTGGGCAAATAGAAAAAAAATAGTGGGGAAAAACACAACTCAGCTCCCATTCACTGCAACAGGGCTCGGGCATGGAAACATCTCTGCTCTGAATGGCACCCTAAATCAAACTATACATCCCACCCACCCACCCATTCAGCACCTTCCACATTTCAGTGAGCCATATCTCAGTCCTTGAGCCATATCTCAATCCTTTAGGAAAGAATAATAAAAACTGGGCAGAGTGAATCTCCTTTCCCCTCTAGTCTTCCCTCACAAAACAGGTCACAAGCTTCCAGAAAAGAAAAATACAGCAGGACCCTCTATCTGTGGGATCAGTATCTGCTGACTCGCGTATCCGCTGCCGGAAAATACTAAATAAAACAAATACTGTGCATTTATACCTATTCTCACGGTGTAGTTAACAGAATTGGCCACTAGGGGGAACCAGAGAACATGTCTCGGTACTTCCGCGTTTTCCAGCATCTGCGCTGTGGTGGTGGCTTAGAACTGAACTCGGGGATACATGTAATAAACATGTGTCAAGAAAGATGTGAAGTCCACATACGTGTTCTCCCACAGGTTAAAAATAGTACAACAAAGAGAGAACAATTCTAAGCTGAAGAAACAAGAGGGAAAACGTAAAGCAATTTGAAAGCCGAAAGCCAGGCCAGGATTTCATAGATTTTGGTTCAGAATCTCGCTGACACTGAAGCCCGCTGGGTGAACTGAGTCAGTCACTCTCGCTCGGTCTGACTACCTCACAAGGTTGTTGTAAGGATGGCGCGTGGAGGAGGGGAACTACGCACACCGCCTCACTGAAGAAAAGCTGGTCTACAAATGGAACAAAAACACAAACATTGCAGGCTGCTTTGGTTAAAAAAAAAGAAAACACAAAAGAGGAGTACAGAACAACAAAACCCCGCCTGACAAAATACAGCAATTAGAATTTCCTAGGAAAAAAAGGGTGTGGAGGCAGCCTAAGCCCTAAGGAGCCCTGTGGCACCTTAAAGGCTGACGGGATTTAATTTGAACTGCTGGATAGCTCAGAGGTTTGGGTAGGGACCTTGATTCCCCCACTGGGCCTCCTCGACGGAGGCTGGACAGGATGATCCCTAGCGTCCCTTTCAGCGGCGCCGTCGCCTCAGCCAAGCTTAGGTCGAAGAAAGCTTATCCGCCAGGGAGAGCCCACAGGACTCTCGGCGGCAAGGAACGTGAGCACCGTTGCTTGTTTTAAAAAACTGCGTCTCCCCGTTTCGACAAATCTGGCCCCGTTCGCGGTTCCACGTGCGAGAGGGAGCGCCGCCGCCGAGGGCCGGACGCCTCCTTCTCGGCGGCTCGGCGCCCTCCCGCTCGCGCTCCCGGGCCAAGGGCTGCGTGCCACCGCCGTCGTCAGGCTCCCTCCCTTCCCTTCCCCTCCCGTCTCCCCTCCCGCGCCCGCCTCATGCAGGTTCTTCTGCTTACTACGGCAGGCGGCTGATGCCAAGCCTCCTTGGGGGTGACCCGCCAGAGAGGAGGAGCGAGCGCCGCGTCAAGCACACACCCCAACCCCGCCAGCGTGTATTTACAATAAATAAATAAATAAAAATTGAAATAAAGAAGGAACGCAAGCAATCCCAGCCATGCTGGCCATCCCGGGGACTCGGCGGCTTTGGCAGCAGCGCCTCGATGGCTTGGGTGACAGCCACGGCGCGCAGAAGCCGCAGCAGCAGCAGCAGCAGCAGCAGCAGCAGCAGCAGCCGAGGCGATGAAATGCAGCAGCAGCCGCAGCAGCTAGCAACAGCTCCAGCCACAGCAGCCTTCCAGCTGGGAGACAGGAGGCGGGCAGGCACCAGTCCAGTCCCAGGGGCTAAAATGCTCTTCTTCCCCTGAGCCTGTGGGCTGTCTCCTTTTTTTTTTACCCCCTGGTCTTCTTCGCAGCTGTGCCGGGTTGGTGGGGGGTGTTGGTGGTGGTTTTTTATCCCTGGCCTTGGCTTTTCTTCCCAAAAAGACTCCGTGGCCCTTAACGGGAGGCTCGCGACTCCTTTGGTGACTGCAGTGGCTTCTTCTCCTCCTTCTCATCCCCAACCCCACCTCCCGGCTTTGCTGCATCCATCCTTCCCTCTCCCAGGATGGCGGAAGCTGAATTGCACAAGGAGAGGCTCCAAGCTATTGCAGTAAGTCTCCTCCTAGATATTGATGGCATTTAACTTCTCTCTTTGGGTTGTGGATGGGAAATCGAGGGCGGTTCTGCATGCCAGCAAAAGAGCTGGCCCTAGGGCTTCCTTCTTGTGCTATTTAATTTTGTTGCCTTAAAAAAAAGAAAAGAAAAACAAGACCAGTGAAGTTGTGCTGAGTTTACCTTTTGCTTGCTTGCTTTCTGCTCTATTTGCTCGAGGAGAAACGGTATTCTTGCTTGGAATGGAGAACAGGAGAGGTTGGATTCTTCTAACGGTGACCCCAGGTTTTTTGTTTGCTAGTTTTCCTTGGCCTCCCTGAAAGACATGTGGAAGGGCAGGGGTGGGTGGGTGAGTGAGGAAGGAAGGATCCTGTGTGTTTCGAGTGCATTCACCTGAAGTGCAGTGTTTGGTTGGCAGATCCCTTGGGAGAGGTTGGGTGGTTTCATTTTAAAGACAGGTGCAGGCGTCTCTTGAGTTGAAAATGTGCATTGGTTGGGCTTCAGTAAAAATTGTTCTGCAGTTATTGCTGTTTGTCATGTTAAGAATTGAAGCAGTGTCCAGTATCAACGGGACTGATGGTTAATGCATAACACAATGCATATCTTTTCTGGAGGATGCCTGTGCAAGAGAAGTCAGTCAGTTGGACTTAGTCCCAGATAAATGTGTTACAGCATTGTAGTTGCTTTGATAGTGTTATCCCTGGTAATAAAGTGGAACTTGACTTAGGGTGCCTGTGCATCTAATAATTTCTTATGAGACTTAACGGGTCAAGAAAATACATGTACATACAAGACCTTTTCCAGCCTGCTTCAGCGAATCATTTTTTTGAAAGCATAAGGAGGATACCATAAGTTGGAATTTGGCATACCCATGGAGAAAGCTGTACATCTCAGGATTGTCTAGGACAATGTTTCCTAACATGTGGGGCTCCAGATGTTGTTTGATCAAAACTCCGACCACCCTCTTCTACTGGGCAATAACATTTAAGACTCCTAAGCGCTGAAGTCTGATAACAACTGGAGAACTAAGGTTGTGGATCACTGGTACAGGACACGTGGAGCCACCATACGGTTTGAGCCAAGAGGTGGTGAGTGTCGTTCTTAACATGTGCCGCTTACTCTTGCTAAAAATCCCACAAAAAAAACTCAGGCTTGTGATCAGTTTCTTTGCCATGTGGCAGACACGCCCTTCCTTGGAAAAAATCTTGGGAACAGTTCCAAAGAGTTAAACCGAACAGGTTTGGGATTGATTTTTAATGCACATCATGCCATGCTGTCTGTATAAGTGATCATGTTATTGTTGAGGGAGGAGAAGAAACCGAAGGTGGATGGGTGAGTGGGTGGAATGGTCTTTCAGAATGGCGCTCTTTCTTCATCTGCCTCAAGAAACTTCAGACAAAAGAAGTGTGTCGTTAACAACCTGAAATTGGGATGGGACAGCTTGAAGCTCCCCAGGTCAAAATACTCTTTCTTTCTCTGGTCCTTAAAATGACTGTGATTTATTTCTAATATAATCCTACACAAATACCTGACACTGTGCAATAAACTGAGGATCAGACGTAGTATTTTGAAACTGGAGGTCTCCATCTTCAGCATTCCCAACACTGAATTATTGCTTTTTTAAAAAATTTCTTTGTTTAAATTTATTCAGGGGAAGAGGATATTTTTTTATAATAGAAGAACCACGGTTCTCCCAGTGAGGCATACTGTTTGTGCTTTTTCCTCATCCTCTCTGACCTTGTCCTTGAGGTAACCCATAAAGATTCACCTCTATAAGCAGGGAGGAGGCTTTGCTCCCCCACTTCATCCAGCCGATATGCTTAATAAAGCAAAGCCACACAGACTCTGGAGGGCTGGGCCCGGTACGTGCAGCCACCGCCATCTGTGCATCTCAGGTCTGAAGTGAGAAGGCAGAAAATGACAAGAAGGCTGCTTGGATTTTAGGAACTCTGCCATTGTGTTGCCAATGATCAACAGATGTTGTGCTTTACGCGAACTGCTCCTGAATGGGCAGTTCGTCTATATTTCCTTTGTAGATGGAGGAATGGCTGCTTGGAGAAGGTTGTTTTCCTTTGGTCAGTTTAACTTCTCAATATATGCCTTTATATTTAAGAAATGCAGACCTACTCTGCATTAAATCCTTTGAAATTGTTCCTGGAAGAACATCAGATGGGTTGCATTGGCTGGGGAAGGAAGCATCTAAGGATTTAAAGGGTTTGTTAGTCATTAAAAAGAAGGGGGCAAATGGCTTGCTTTTCTTCTAAAAACCCACTGAGTCGCCCCTTTCCTAGTTAGACCCCGAGGGCTAAAGTGCATGTGAGATGCATTGCATGTTGCCTATGAATGCAGCCAGCATTAAAGAAGGAATTATAGGGTAGAACTCTTCCCCTCTCCCTGCTATTCAAATAGTAGATTCAGGGGGCTTGATAGCTGTTGGGATCACGTGGAGAACAAGTAGCTCAATCTCTCATGCTCTATCCTGCACATCCACACATGGGCCTTTGTTTGTACAGGTTCCCTTGGGCTGGCTATTAAAATCCTTCACAAAATAATGTAATGGGGGGTTAGGTGTAATATGTAGTTTGGACCCCTGTGTGCTTTGGACTTTAGTGTTTGAGACACATGAGTGAGATGTTAGCCTGGAGGGGTAAGGAACTTCTGCTGCTGCCGCTGATGGTTTGCCATGTTGTTTGAGACTGATGGAAACTGGAGTCTAATAACATCTGGAGGGCCAACAGGTTTTGCATACCAGCTCAATTTTATGATATTACCCCATAAGAGAATACCTAGCTCTTCTAAGATTGCCAATGTGTAGGGTATATATATATATATATAGGGATTTGGGGGTTATGTTAAAGGAGGGAGTGGTAGGCAGGAAGTGCTGTCCTAAAGTCCCTGTCCCTGAATATGCTGGAAAAAAACTTGAGATCTGATTGATTGATTGATGTTTGTTAAATGTGTCATCGAATAGATTTCTCTAACCATCCCACCATCCAGTTTAAAAAGCAGCATAATGAAAATGCAATAAATCCCAATAAAAGAATAAAATCAAACATAAAATCAGTAGATGCATATTGAAATGTCAAAAACCTAATATGGATACAAATGGAAATGGATTGAGATTTGGAGCCTGCTGTTCCAGCATGATTCCAGTTTACACTTTTACACCAGGCCACTAAGAGCATTGCTGAGGAGAGGTTGGTTAGAGATGTGCCGTCCCTGTGTGGAATGTGATGCAGCGCTTCTCCACTGTGAGGTGGGCCTCCCTGGGCAAGGAAGGGCTCATTCTCCACCAAACAGCGCTGCAAACGGTTCAAAGTATATTAGATAATTGGCAATAAATATGACAGTTCAGAAACTTAGCATGAGCAATCATAATAGTGCCAGTTACTGAAAATAAGACATCCGTCTTACTCTCTGATGAATTTGGTAGTGGTGGAGAGGGGATGCAAACGTCACCCTGTCTGGATTTCTCAGGCTTCCTCAGTGTAAACTCCAGACTCTGTACATGAGTGGACCCCCAAAGATGTGTAGAAGAATGCACACCCTAGAAAAGCACCGCTCAAACATTCTTTAATCAGGAATAGGGATGCAGTCAAAATGCATTGTGCAAATGTGTACACAGTTTAAAACATGAGGATGAAAGTGCACAGGTTGCCTCTCTGTGGATGCAGACCTCCCAGATTTAAGGTGCACAGCATAGAAGGCCAAAGAGCACTCCACTGCACAAAGGGAACCTAAAGTGTTCCATATTACAATATGCATTTTGTTTGGGAGCCACGGCTCTCACTTGCCACCACTTGCCGCCTTCTTCCGCCTCTCATGTTTGTTTCCTCTTTCAGTGCTTTTGAGTCCATTTCTCGCCTGGGGAAAGACAGGTTGCCTGCCTTCCTTTAGTCTCCAAACATGATCACAGGCAAGAATGTTTTCAGGATTTTTCCTGGATGGAGCAACGCTGTATGGTAGTACGTTAGCCTTATGTTAGCATAATGTCCGTGCATAGGGTGTACCTCCACAACAGGTCAGTCTGTGTATCTTAAAGTAATAAAAGCATGCAGGATGGGGAGGGCAGCTGCCTCCTTTGCCTCCTCCACCTGCCCCTGCTTACAGATTTGATGTTACCAAAGACTCCTTCCAGGTGTCTTCAAGTCAGCAGGATTTATCAGACCCTAGGGTAGTAGGAATGGGAAGACAGATGTAAATGTCCAGATCTTCAGCATTATCTGTCTCTGCCAAGCATCCCTTTAAGAAACTTATTTATTAAGCTTCAGTAATGGGGCAACCCAGTGGGTTAAGATCCTGTGACAAGGGGAGCAGTCCTTTACAGTTTGACAAGATCTGCTCTGGGTTATGCTGTCTTTGGAAGAGGCTGCAGGTCATCCGTATGGGATTCGTAAATGATTCTATCCATTCCCCCCCCACCCCATTTTTCTACCTGACTGCCAAAGGAAGATTCTTAGAATGAGCTTCTACTGCTTAATAAATGTCTGAATCTTTCAGGAAGGAGACTGAGGTGTTCTCTGTGTTGTACCTCCTTCAGTCTGGGGGTGTGATCCTGCAGCCCCTCAGTAAGATGGGGGAGTTTTTTTGTTTCTCTTTGAATCAAGATTTTTTTTTCCACTTGAGAGTCATAGCTGTTTCTTGGATGTTTTATGATGTTTCTTTTCTGCAAAGAATAATTCCAATTCCTGTCCCAGAATGGCACCTTTCCTGCAGAAGATTCCCTGGAAAGGGTTTTGAACTGGTCACATTTTTACAGGAAGCTGAGCAATCTCATGGTTGCAGAAGTTTGGGGAGGGTACTTTGCATGGCAGAACTTGAACAATCACAGAGAATGAGAGGTGTTTCAAATACTCTTCACATCCTTACTTCAGTTTCTAGATAACTTGGTTTCAGCAGAAGACAATGCATGTGAGACTCTCAAATTCTTGTGATTGGCTCTGGGTCTTTCATTTTACAACTGTCCTGTAGATTCCAGACCAAAGCTTACAATTCTAG